GGGGGACATGATAGCAGTATTCACTGGAATTCCAGAGGCTGACACAAAGAGGAGGAGGGGGTCAACTTATTTTCCAAAGCACCTGAGGGCAGGACAAGAAACAATGGATGGAAACTAATCAAGGAGAGAAGCGACCTGGAATTAAGGAGAAGCTTCCTAACACTGAGAACAATTAATCAGTGGAACAGCTTGCCTTCAGAAGTCATGGGTGCTTCATGGGTGGGTGCTTCTTAAAAACTGGAGGTTTTAAGAATAGACTGGACTGTACCTTGTCTGAAATGGTTTCCTGCCTGAGCAGGGGGTTGCACTAGAAGACTTCCAAAGGCCCTTTCAGCTCTATTCTGATTGATTGACTATCACTGAAAGTTGTATCTTATGATTTATGTTAATTGTATTTTATGATTATGATAATGATTTATTATTTGTTACTTGTTTGCACACGGAGAGCTTATGTACCAGAGATAAATTCCTTGTGTGTTCAATCATACGTGGCCAATAAAGAATTCTATCCCATCCCATCCCATCCCATCCTTCTCCCATGGTTGTGGAATCACAACTTGCAATCTTCCCTGCTGACTTCCCACAAGCAAGGTCAATAAAGAAGCCAACAGGAAAGGTCAAAAGTTACTCACACCTTCACATTCTCTCTTAAGGAGCATCCACAGCACCACTCTGCCCTCACTCCATAATGTATATCTACCTTCCTAGCCACATGATGCAGGTACCACAGCAGGCACTGGTGGACACTCCTATAGTCATTGGCAACCACTCCAGCTCAGCCATGCTTGCAGAACAGTAGCTACTTATTTACTTGCCAGCCTGTTTGCCAATTTCCCCAGGACTTTTAACTTCCTGATACTTACTTGTTGCCTTTGCTTATTAGAAGCCAGCAAGAAATTGCAATGAAGTCCTCAGTTAATGACAGTAGCGGGGAGTGCTGAAACTGCCAAAGTGTGATACAGGTAATCCTCGATTTACAACCACAATTGAACCCAACATTTGTGTTGTTGAGACTTTGTTAAGTGAGTTTTGCCCCATTTTACGACTTTTCTTGCCACAGTTGTTAAGTTTATTATTATTTATTTATTTATTTATTTATTTTTTATTTGTTTATTTTATTTCTATACCGCCCTTTTCCCGGAGGATTCAGGGCGGTGTACAGCCTGATTAAAATTAAATGACTGCACCTCTTAAATTAGTAACACGGTTGTTAAGTGAATTTGGCTTCCCCATTGACTTTGCTTGTTAAAAGGTTAAAAGAGGTGATAACAAGACCCCAGGACACTCCAACCGTCATGAATATGAGTCAGTTGCCAATGATCTGAATTTCATCACATGACCATGGGGATGCTGTAATGGTTGTAAGGGTGAAAAACGGTTGTATGTCACTTTTTCAATGACGTTGTAACTTTGAACAGTCACTAAACGAACTGTTGTAAATCGAGAACTACTTGTATTTCACTTTACTAGCGATAAAAGTAAAGGTTTCCTCTGTTCAGGCATTTCTGACTCTGGGGGAAGATGTTCACCTCCGTTTCTTAGCCGAGGGAGCCAATGTCGTCTGAAGGTGCTTCCATGGTTATGTGACCAACATGACTATATGCTGAGGTGCACAGAACATTGTTATTTTCCCACCAAAGTGGTACCTATTTATCTACTCGCATTTGCAAGCTTTTGAACTCTTAGGTGGACAGTGTCAGGACTTCAAGTAATACATCCACAACAATGAGAACTCTGAGGCAGGCGTTTTCCTCAGAGAACAATTTATTAGGCTATATCATATTGGCACAAACCTGGCGAAAACCAGCTCTAAACGTCCTGTTTTTCACGTAATTAAAAGTAAACGTTTTGTCCCTTCCCCAGAGTCATCGGTCACAAGGCCCAATCAGCACACAGTCCAGTGGTTAGATGACCCCAATCTCCTCCTTCCAAACACCTGCCCAAATGTCCTTGGTTCCCAGGGGAAATAATTTTGACTACAGCAGCCCCAACTATCTTTACTACCCCCCTCCATACCTTTCAACTCCAAGCTGTGTCAGCATTGAAGCAACAAGAAAGAAAATGGCCACAGTCACGCCAGGCCAGGCCAGCTTAAGGGTTGACAGATAGCAGCTGGAGCAAGTAACGGCAGTTCACCAGTGGTGAAATCCAGCTGGATCTATCCGGCTCACATGATGCAGTAGGGCCAGTGGTGGGACACCCCGCCCACCCGCTCGGACATCATCACGTCCTGTGTGCTGACCCTCTGTGCATGCGCAGAAGAGGCACGGACGCTCACATTTCCGATCCGGTAGCGAAGGTAAGTGTATTTTACCCCTGGAGTTCACTCTGTCACGTAGCGCTCAGGTCTCAAACCCAGGCTGTCAGCTTTCCGCTGGCAAACTCAGCACTTTTAACTGCTGAGTCATTGTGTCCCTTGCTCTTTACTCCTGCATTGCTTAATGATGAAAATTCTAGTCCCAATTACCACAGTTAAGCGAGGACCACTTGTATGCCTCTCTGGGATATCTATTTCATGATGACACATTTTTAAATCCAGAAGCTGTTGTGCCAGATGCAACATGGCACAAACTTGGTCACCACATTATAAAACAAATACTGAGACTTCGGAAAAAGTGCAAAGAAGAGCAATGAAGTGGATTAAAGGTCTGGAGACTAAAACATATGAAGAACAGTTGCAGGAGTTGGGTATGGCTAGTCTAGAGAAAAGGAGGACTACCGGTGACATGATAGCAATATTCCAGTATTTGAGGGGTTGCCACAATGAAGAGGGGGTCAACTTACTTTCCAAAGCACCAGAAGACCAGACAAGAAACAATGGATGGAACTAATCAAGGAGAGAAGGAACTTGGAATTAAAGAGAAACTTCCTAGTATGTGCTCGCTCGCTGTTCACACAAGTGGGGATGTGCACATGTGTGCATGCACACCACTTCCATAACCTGATTCCAAACAGCTCAAGGCCTGAGATGGGCTGCAGCCTGATTATTGGGGACCCCTGACTTGTGACCATAATTGTCATAAGTCAATGACTTTTTGTATGGAGAATTTTATATAAAATAAAAGAAAAATTTAAAGAAAAATAAAAGGCAAAAGAACACCCAAGTGATTAAATATAATGAATTCTAACCTCTCTTCAACAGATAATTACAACCTTTTAATCCTGTCTCCCTCGTAAATGTTATAGACATCCCTTCAGCCCCTCTGTCAGGTTTCGATGCTATCTCAAAATAAATGAATTTCCAAACTGCCGATCTTTGAGGAAATTTTCTCTTTATTGAGCATAGCGATCTGATCCTGGCTCTTTCGCGGTCAGTACTGACCTTTACCCAGGGGTGGGTTCTAAATTTTTTTACTACGGGTTCTGTGGGTGTGGCTTATTTTGTGGGTGTGGCTTGGAGGTCATGTGACTAGGTGGGCGTGGCTAGCTGGTCAGAGTCATTTCTGGAAGGTCCTCACACTTACGACCACTCCTCGCAGTTATGACCCGACTCATTTGTTTGCTTTTAACACTGATCAGCTGTAGGACGGCCCTTTGAAGCCCCGCGGCAAGAGTTTAAACAGTTTTTTCCCTCTAGTCATCAGCTGGGACTCAGGAGGCAGCAATAGATTGGGGGTGGGACCAAATAAAAGGTAAGAATAACGTGGGTGGGAGGGCGGGGGGGAGAACCGGTTCGGTAACGTCATATCGTCACCACTACCGGCTCGGCCGAACCGGACCAAACCGGGAGGAACCCATCACTGCCTTTACCCCCCAATCCCTCCCTTTCCGATCCCCAATTCTCTGCTTCTCATTGGCTATCTTCCAAGCCACTTTCCTCATCCCTTCTTCGTCAGATCACAGGAATGTCTACCCCCCTCCCATCTCCGAGGAGACAGAATCTTCAAAGGGATTTAGTAGGCAAAAGTTCAAGCTTCTTCTCTCTTCATATATGTCAGTGCTGGGACCCTGACACCCTCACTTAGTCCACCTTTTTTTAAATCCTCAAACTTGTAAATTATCACACTTTTTTTCTTCTTTCAGCAAAAATTCCATACAGGTAGTCCTCGACGTATGATCACAATTAAATCCAAAATTTCTATTGTCAAGTGACAAGTGACAACAAAAGTTTCTGATGATTGTGCGGCTCAGCTGGGCATGGGGAGGGCAGGGATTTTTGCTACTGGTTCTCCAAACCATCCGCCTCCATCGCTACCGGATCAGGTGATCCGGTCCGAACTGGGAGCATTTCACCCCTGAATCCACCTCAAAGTGGCCAGCTTAGAGCAGGGTTTCTCAAATTTGGCCACTTCAAGGTGCGTAGACTTCAACTCCCAGAATTCCCAGCCTACCATGTCTATTGCCCTAAAAGCTTAGAAGTTTCCTTACATACAGTCACTGGATCCATAACACACTGGACATTTGAGCATGTCTAGTTTAGCAATTTTATATCAACAACGTGCACCTACAGGTAGTTCTCAACTTACAACCACAATTGAGTCCAAAATTGCCATTGTTAAGTGAGACATTTGTTAATAAGTTTTACCCCATATTATGACCTTCCTTGCCTCAGTTGTTAAGTGAATCACAGCAGTTGTTAAGCTAGTGACACGGTTGTAAAGGGAATCTGGCTTTCCCATTGATTTTGCTTGTCAGAAGGTTGCAAGAGAGGATCCCTGGACACAGCAACAGTCATAAATCTGAGTCAGTTGCCAAGCATCTGAATTTTGATCACATGACCGTGGGGAGGCTGCAATGCTAAAAAACGGTCATAAGTCACTTTTTTCACTGCCATTGTAACTTTGAATGGTCATTAAACGAACTGTTGTAAATCGAGGTCTACCTGTATTTATTGTCATGCATACTGCTGGAATGTCCTTTGCACCTGGATCTAGTTTAAACACACTTCCTCAAAACCAGTTTAGGACCAGTTCTGAAGACTTTTTTGGGTTTACAGTTATAACAAAGGCTAACTAAAGAGAACTTGTTCCAAAATGGAATCGTGATTGCAAATACATTTTTTGTTCCCTGTTGCTTTAAATCTGGGCTGTAAAATGAATTCTGCAGAAGGAAGCAGGGTTGGTTGGGAGATCATTTTACAATCATGTTGGTCAAACTTTCCAAGAAGCTGAACGGGTTAAAAGCAGAAAGTTCAGCAGCTAGAGTAGATCCAGAAATGTAGAGTCCTCTTACTGAATTCCTTTTCCTGTAGCTCCTTTGGAGAAAACTTTGAGTTTGGTGTTGCCGTTCTTGAATTTTGCTGGGCGAATCTCAACAGTTCGGAAAGAGTAAGTTAAATTTGAAACTTTCAGAAAAAGATCAGATCAGAAAATAAGAAATCCAGGAAGGGGGAGTGTGGGGGGGAGGTTAAAGGGAAATTATCCTCGAGTAAATAATTTCTTTTAAAAAAAACTGCACCTATTTAACGCTCTCCTGGTAAAGGAGAGGATACAACAGTTGGTCCTTGCAGAGCTCTCTCTTCCTACAGAAAATTGAACCTCCATGTTCAAGCATAGATAACAGCTCCGCAATCCAGGTGCGGGGAAAGGCATAAAAGGAGGGCGCGGAGGCGTCACGGGTGGGGGGAACAAAATGACAAAAAGAGCATCGGGGCTATTGAGTTGCAAGCGGCGTCTCTTCCTTCGACGAATCGTGACTCTCTTGTCATGTTCACCAAAGCCTCGGATTAACAGAATAACAGGAGTTGGAAGAGACCTTGGAGGTCATCTGGTCATTTAGCCAGAGCAGGGGGTTGGACTAGATAACCTCCAAGGTCCCTTCCAACTCTGTTACTCTTAGTCCAACCCCCTGCTCATACAGGAGAGCCTGTATCATTTCCGATGGATGGCAATCCAGTCTCTCCTTGAAAGCTTCCAGTGATGAAGCTCCCACAACTTCTGAAGGCAAAAAGATGACCTCCAGGGTCCCTTCCAACTCTGTTACTGTTACTGAGTGGTCAGTGGGGCACTTGAGTTTACTTCTGCATTCCCCTTTTTCTGGTGACTCATAGATTTCCTACCCAGTTGATTCAATTTCATTCAAACACGGCAGTTGTTAAGTGAATGCTACAATCATTAAGCAAACCCATTGTTCACTAGGGATAGAAGCATGGGTTTCTGGCAAAAATGTAAATCATGGTCATGTGACTGCAGGATGCTATGAAAGGCCACAACTGCAGGCTGGTTGCCAAGCACCCGAAATGTCATGTGACCCTGGGTGGAGCCCTTCCCCCCCCCAGTCCTCAGAAGTTCAAATCTGGGTCATAAGTTGTTTTTTGAATGGTTGCTAAATGGCTGGTTGTAAGGCAAGGACTATCTGTAAGTCACAGGCTTGGTGTTGTCGTAGTTCTGTGTCTACCATCTGCACAGCTATAGAAGAGCAATATTCTCAATAGCAGTAATTGCAAGAGGGATCTTGGAATCCGAGTGGACAATCACTTCAATGTGAGCCAGCAGTTGTGTGGCAGCTGTCAATAGAGCCAAGGCAGTGGTGGGCTGCAGTAACAGAGGGATAGAATCAAGATCACGTGAAGTATTAGTATCGCTTTATAAAACCTTAGTAAGGCCACATTTGCAATATTGCATCCAGTTTTAGTCACCGTGATATAAAAAAGATTTTGAGACATCGTGCACAGAAAAGAGCAAGAAAGATAGAGGTGAGCGGAGGCTAAAATATCCGATGAGCGGGTGCAGGAACTGGGTATGTGTAATTTAATGCAGAGAACGTCTAAGGGTGACATGATAGCAGTCTTTCTTTTTTCTTTCTTTTTTAACAAAAGTTTTTTATTTTTTATATTCAAACAACCAAACATTATCATACATCATTTTATCCCCACCCAACCCCCCCTCCCCAATTCCCCCTCCCGACTTCCCAGAGCAAAAACAGGATATAGCATTTAACAAACATAAGCTAAAATTTGCTAACTATTACAGAATTCAAAACTCTCTCACACTTGTTAACTCCCCTTTTAAAAATTATACTTCAACCTTCCTTTTATAAATTCTCTTATCACATTTCACATTTGTAAAAAAAACAAAAACCATAATCTTATTTTAAATGTTTTAAAATCTCTTAATACATTAGCAGAACATTCTCCAAAATATAAGTTTCAAAAATTTCAAAAAATTATCCATTAAATTTTAAGTTATCCAACTTTAAACTTCAATACTTTAAAACTACCATAAAATTCAAAAGTTATCCAACTTTAATTAAATCTTTTAACATCATGAGACAATCTCCAAAATATGACCAGTCTTTCTTTCTTTCTATATTTTTTCCAGTCCTTCTTCAATAATACTTTCTTCTTCAGCACTGCTCCTCCCCCTGCTTTTATTTTCAAAAATTTTTGGGTTTGAAATTGTAGTTGGTATGTCTTAGGAATTCGTTCTCTTCTTGGGATTGTTTCCTTTAATTTGAAGCCCCCATTTCAACTCTTCCTGCATTTGTAATCCATCAGTTTGTTCCTTATATATTGATTCTGTCTGTAGAGCCAAAACTTGTCAAAATATTTATCAACCTGCAGTAAAGAGTCTTCTTGCTTTTTCTCAGTTATTTGAATGGAAGCCTCTTCCCACACTCAGTTAATTGAATGGAAACCTGTGTTTTCGATATAATAACCTCCATTTTAGCCCCAGCAATGTCTCTTCTATCCTCCAAAGGCGCATTGTCCTGATTAATTTCTTCCTCTTTTCCAGCCAGCAAGTCATTATTATTCCCCAATTTAAAATCTTGAATAGTTCTTTTAATTATCTGTCTTATCTCAGCAGTAAAAGATTTTAAAAACTCTTTTAAGTCCTTCGCAGTCACTACTTGTAAATTTGCTGACTCATATAATCCATCTTTAATTTCGGCCATTTTTCAATTGTCTCTTTATGTTTGTATTAATTCGGCTATCAGGTCATTAACTCCAGTTATTTCCAAGCAAATTAGAGATATAAGTTAGTTAAAATCAATACCACAGTCTTTTCCATTCCACTTCCACTTTAAATCTTTTTCTTGAATAACCCGATAGCTTTAACAATGTTACTGATGTTAACAAGGATTTTCACTTATAAGTTTCATTTTCAAACCCTAAGGCGCCATCTTTTTTTAAACGGAGTTAACGTACAATACTTGCATTTTTAGTCTCCTGGATTAACTCTGCCAGCATCCAAAATCCAAAATCCAAATTCTTTATAATCCTTTTAGTTACTTGCTGGTGTGGTCGCGACGCTTCAGTCTGCTTTAAGCAGACGCGTCCCGGCTCCAGAGCTTTGAAGGGCTTTCAGGGAGCTCTCACCATGGAAACCCCAGGCTTAAAAAAAAAAAGCCTGGGGGTCTAGGGGAGCTCTACCCAGACCCTTTTACTCTTCTCTCCCCCTTTTCCCTGGAGGAGAGTTTTAAAGCCACTAGACAGCTGATTTTCGCTGTTCTAGCGGCTATACGGAGTCATGGGGCTGGAGCTCCTAAAAGGAGCTCCGTCGGCGTTTCGCGGAGCCACCGGAAGTCTCATGATAGCAATCTTTCAGTAGTTGAGGGGCTGACGCAGAAAAGGGGGTCAACCTATTCCCCAAAGTGCCTGAAAGTAGGACAAAAAGTAACAGAGGGAGAATTATATAGAATTAGGAAGAAATTGTCAGTGACAACAATCAGTGGAACAAATTGCCTCTCAACCTGTGGTTGTTCCATCAGTGGAGGCTTTTAAGAGGAGACTGGAGAGCCATTTGACTGGGATGATATAGGTTCTCCTGCTTGGAGAGTTGGTCCCTTCCAACTCTTACTCTGTAATTCTGTAAGAACTTCATGAACATTTAGGGCTCAGCATGTAGCTCATCTTCAGAAGCTTAAGTAGCTTCACATTTCACTCTTTTACTTGGCTCTGTTGCAAAGATAGGTTGCTAGGAGTTTAAAACAACTTGATAGCATATAATCAGTGACAATATCTTGCCAACGCCTTAGGCAGAGACGGGACAAGTGTGTTTTTCGCCTCCTGTCGGGAGATGGCGGTCACTTCTGCGCCTACAAAGCCGTCAATACAGTAGCTGCATCTGTGGTTGATCCTTAAAGGAGTTAAAACCATCAAGTACTGTATTGCTAGAAAGGAATGAGGAAGAAGAGAAGCACAGAGGAACTTCCTGTACCGGATCCCTCATGGGTGGAAGGTGGCTTGCAGAGCGGCTTTTGTGCTCTTCCAAAAGTTGAAGCATCAGCTGGAAGGTGAGTTGAGGGCAAGTTGGAGGAGAGGCCAGAAGCAAGTTGGGCTATTTGGTTTGGATGCTGCCAACCGATGCACATTTATGATGGTCACAACATCCCACCATCATGATCCCCATTTTTGACCTTCCCAGCTTGTTTCTCATAGGCAAAGTTAGTGAGGATGGCAAGAAATTGCAAGTGACAGTCATGTGAAATTGCCTTTAACAACCCACAGTGGTTTGCTTAACAACTCCAGAGGAACAGATGTAAGTTGGCAGTTATGTGACATCATGTTTCATGATCGGGCTGCTTAGTGACACAGATCCCAGTCCCAAATGTGAGGACTCCTTGAAAGGGGATGTCACCAGAGGAATTGTGGACAGGAGGACAGTATTTTCTTATTTGGAGCTGAGGATTTCCATCGGTATAACTGGCGAAGGTTGTTGAGAGTGTGGTCGCGCGACAGTTCCCGCAATTCCTGGAGGAAACATCCTATCTAGATCTGTTCCAGTCGGGTTTCAGGCCCGGGCACAGCACGGAAACAGCATTGGTCGCGTTGGTTGATGATCTCTGGAGAGCTCGGGACAGGGGTTGCTCCTCTGTTCTGGTCCTGTTAGATCTCTCAGCGGCTTTTGATACCATCGACCATGGTATCATGCTGCACTGGTTGGAAGAGTTGGGGATGGGGGGCACCGTGTTACGGTGGTTCTTCTCCTTTCTCTCCGACGGGTCGCAGTTCATGTTGGCAGGGGGGCAGAGGTCGACCTCGAGGCCTCTTATATGTGGAGTGCCTCAGGGGTCGGTCCTCTCGCCCCTCCTGTTCAACATTTATGTGAAGCCGCTGGGCAAGATCATCCGTGGCTTCGGGGTGAGATACCACCAGTACGCTGATGACACCCAGCTGTACATCTCCACCCCAGGCCACCCCAACGATGCCCTTGAAGTGATGTCCCAGTGCCTGGAGGCTGTGCGGATCTGGATGGGGAGGAACAGGCTCAAGCTCAACCCTTCCAAGACTGAGTGGCTGTGGCTCCCGGCATCCCGATATAGTCAGTTGACCCCATCACTGACTATTGGGGGCGAGTCGTTGGCCCCCACAGAGTGGGCTCGCAATCTGGGAGTCCTCCTGGATACGCAGCTGTCCTTGGAGGAACATCTGACGGCTGTAACCAGGGGGACCTTTTGTCAGGTTCGCCTGATTCGCCAGTTGCGGCCCTTTCTTGATCGGGATTCCCTGTGCACAGTCACTCATGCCCTCGTCACCTCTCTCCTTGACTACTGCAACGCTCTCTATATGGGGCTCCCCTTGAAGAGCACCCGGAGGCTCCAACTGGTCCAGAACGCAGCAGCGCGGGTAGTGACGGGAGCAGCATGGCGCTCCCATGTAACACCGCTCCTGCATGAGCTGCACTGGCTCCCAGTGGTCTTCCGGGTGCGCTTCAAGATGTTGGTTATCACCTTTAAAGCGCTCCATGGCATAGGGCCTAGCTATCTTCGAGACCGCCTGCTGCCACCGATGACCTCCCATCGACCCGTGCGCTCCCACACAGAGGGCCTCCTCAGGGTGCCATCAGCCAAACAGTTCAGGCTGGTGACCCCCAGGGGGAGGGCCTTCTCTGTGGGGGCACCTACCCTCTGGAATCAGTTGCCCCCAGAGATAAGGAGAATCCAAGACCTCAATGCCTTCCGCCGTGCCAATAAAACCTTCTTTTTCCAGCAATCCGGGCTGGCCTATTTTTTTACGTGTTTTTAATTGTTTTGTTTATCGTTTTTAATTAATGGGGCCAAATTCATATATATCTTTTAATTGTATTTTAATATTTGTACTTGATGTTTTTACTTGGCTGTTCACCGCCCTGAGTCCTCAGGGAGAAGGGCAGTATACAAATTCAAAATAAAATAAAATAAAAATAAAAATAAACAACACATGACATATTACATCACATCATCATCAATGGTGTGTTTCCCTTACCTTTGCTAATGGTTCATGCACATGCACCACTTCTGCGCATGCACAGAGCATATTTGATGAGGTCCGGGCGGGTGGGCGAAGCCTCCTGCCACCGCTAATACTGGTTCAGCCGAACCGGGCCGAACCGGTACCAATCCAGCACTGGTCACCATGTATTTTACAAAAGAAAAGCCAGTAGCTAAGAAGAAATCGTAGTAGTTTATGCTAACTGGAAAGAAAAGGATTACAACGGAAGCAAAAGGCATGATTTCTTCTTAGCCCCACTAGCACTACCTTTACATTAGTGTTGTGCTGGTAGAGCAAAGAAAAAATCTCATCTCTTTTGCTTCCATGGCAATCCTTTCCTCCTCAGCCAGGGTAAATCACTAATGCTGGCTGGAGTGAAAGGATTGCCATCGAAACAAAAGAGTTTATCTTTCTTCTTCTTGATTACACCATGTGGCCCAGCTGACTTCCTCAGCTCGTCAGAAATTTAGTAAGTGAATGGTAATGGGGGAGTGCGGTTGGGGAGGAATGCACAGTATATTGCAAAGCAGGCCAACATACTGGGGTCTGGGGATTGTGAGGACTGACTGGGCAAGATGGAAGGGAAATAGATGGGTGGGTATGCTGCAGCATGTCTGCAGTTAAGGAGTCAAGGACTCCCGGGGTGGGAGGCGCTGCAAAAATTCAACTTTGAAGCAGATTCGTATTTAGTAATTGGGAGAGTGTTGAATGTCCTGTCGTACCTAAAGGATTACCTGTACTTCTTTTTTTCACATCTTCTGCAACCCACCAGGGTTTCCACGCCTTCCATCAGTCGAGGTCACAGGGGAGGGGCGGGGGAGTAGCGGTTATTATTAGAGAAGGCCTTAGGCCGAGGGAGACCACTGTTCCTCAGACGGCCAGTTGTGAGTCCCTCCTTGTGAAGTGGGGCCACGGGGTTCAGATGGGTTTGCTGATCACGTACCTGGCTCCCTGCCACGTGGCGGCAGCCCTGCCCGAGCTACTCAACGTTATCGCCGCGGTGGCGGTTGATACCCCCAGACTTATGGTCATGGGGGATTTCAACCTGCCATCCGTGGGTGAGGCGTCTGAGGTGGCTCGGGAGTTCATGGCTTCCATGACGGCCATGGACCTGACCCAACTAATTCATGGCCCTACGCACACTGGGGGAAACATACTGGACTTGGTTTTTGTCTCTGGACAGTGGTTGAGTGATCTTGAGATAGTCATCGAGCCCTTGTCATGGTCAGATCACTCTCTCCTTCGCCTTGACCTTCGAACCGCGGCACCCCGCTGCAGGGAGGCGGAACTGATAAGATGGTACCGCTCCAGGCGCCTGATGGAACCAGATAAGTTACAGATGGAGCTTGGGCCAATCCCGGAGGTTCTGGCTCACGCCTCGACTGGAGACCTAGTGGCCGCCTGGGATAGGGCGGCTGCTGGAGCCCTGGACCGAGTCGTGCCTTTGCGGCCTCTGACCCGGCGCCGATCTCGCCTGGCTCCTTGGTTTACCGAGGAGCTGAGGGACATGAAGCGCCGGAAAAGACGCCTAGAGAGCTGTTGGAGGGCTAGTCTTTCTGAATCCGACCGAACACTGGTAAGATCTCATATTAGGAGTTACCTAGTGGCGATAAAAGCAGCAAAATGCACTCATTTTGCTGCTCTTATTGCGTCATCAGATAATCGCCCGGCCACTCTGTTTAGGGTGACCCGCTCCCTGCTCCACCAGGAAGCGCGGGAGGACCCCTTGGAGGGAAGAGCCGAGGATTTTGTTCAGTATCTGCATGAGAAAATCACTCAGATTCGGGCAGGTCTGGACTCCGACTGGATAGATCCAGCGAGGGTGACGGAGGCAGGTCTTGAGACTGTTATCTGGGATGAGTTTGATCCTGTGACCCCAGATGACAGGATTCTGGGTAGATTGAACACGACCACATGTTTGTTGGACCCGTGCCCCTCCTGGTTAGTGCTGGATTCCCGGGAGGTGACGCGAGGCTGGCTCCAGGGGATTATAAATGCTTCATTGGGTGAGGGTGTCTTCCCCGCCGCCCTGAAAGAGGCGGTGGTAAGGCCCCTCCTCAAGAAGCTTTCCCTGGACCCGGCAGCATTGGCTAATTATCGTCCAGTCTCCAACCTTTGCTTCGTTACGAAGGTTGTTGAGAGTGTGGTTGCGCGACAGCTTCCCCAGTACCTGGATGAAGCATCGTATCTGGATCCGTTCCAGTCGGGCTTCAGGCCTGGGTACAGCACGGAAACGGCATTGGTTGCGTTGGTGGATGATCTCTGGAGGGCTCGGGACAGGGGTTGTTCCTCTGTCCTGGTCCTGTTAGATCTCTCAGCGGCTTTTGATACCATCGACCATGGTATCATGCTGCACCGGCTGGAAGGGTTGCGGGTGGGAAGCACCGTTTTATGGTGGTTCTCCTCCTTTCTCTCTGACCGGTCGCAGTCTGTGTTGACAGGGGGGCAGAGATCGACCCCGAGGCCCCTTATATGTGGGGTGCCGCAGGGATCGGTTCTCTCGCCCCTTTTGTTCAACATTTATGTAAAGCCGCTGGGCGAGATCATCCCTGGTTTCGGAGTGAAGTACCATCAGTACGCTGACGACACCCAGCTGTACATCTCCACCCCGGACCACCCCAACAATGCCCTTGAAGTGATGTCCCAGTGCCTGGAGGCCGTATGGATCTGGATGGGGAGAAACGGGCTCAGGCTCAACCCATCCAAGACCGAGTGGCTGTGGTTTCCGACGTCCCGATATAGTCAGCTGGCGCCATCGCTGTCGATTGGGGGCGAATCATTGGCCCCCACGGAAAGGGCTCATAACTTGGGCGTCCTCCTGGATTCACGGCTGTCTTTAGAAGAGCACTTGACGGCCGTGACCGGGAGGATTTTTCATCAGGTTCGCTTGATTCGCCAGTTGCGTCCCTTTCTAGATCGGGACTCACTATGCACAGTCACTCATGCCCTCGTCACCTCTCGTCTGGACTATTGTAACGCTCTCTACATGGGGCTCCCCTTGAGGTGCACTCGGAGGCTCCGACTGGCGCAGAGTGCGGCCGCGCGGGTGGTTATGGGAGCGGCGTGGAGCTCCCATGTAACACCTCTCCTGCGCGAGCTGCACTGGCTCCCGGTGGTCTTCCGGGTGCGCTTCAAGGTTCTTGTTACCACCTTTAAAGCGCTCCATGGCTTAGGACCTGGTTATTTACGGGACCACCTACTACCATCAATAGCCTCCCACCAACCAGTATGCTCCCACAGAGAGGGGCTCCTCCAGGTGCCGTCGGCCAAACAATGTCGGCTGTCAGCCCCTAGGGGGAGAGCCTTCTCTGTGGGGGCACCGACGATCTGGAACGAGCTCCCCCCAGAGATACGGAGGATCCCGGATCTGCGCACCTTCCGCCACGAGCTGAAGACTCTTTTATTTCATCAAGCTGGCCTCGCCTAAATCTTCTTCCTTTTAAGTGCAAATTTTAAATTTTAATGTGTTTTAAAATATGGGTATTTTAAATTATGGGTATTAATTCAGCCAAATTTATTTAATTCATTTTATTCGATTTTAAATTTTTATATGTATGTGTTTTATTTCGTGGCTGTTCCCCGCCCTGAGTCCTTCGGGAGTAGGGCGGTATAGAAATTCAATAAAATAAATAAAATAAATAAATAAATAAACCCTTTCATAAACTATAAAACTTACACTTTCTTTTGAATCTTACAGACAAAGAGGATGCCAACATAAGCACACTGGACAACTGAGAATAACAAGCAACACTGAAAAACAAAGCAAATTGAAGCAGAAATAAAAAATATTTTCTATTTCCTTCAGAAAACCACAGAATTCGTCTACTTCATCAGCAGATAAGAGACAGAAAAGAGAAAATCATGAAGAGATTTGCAGCTGGAAAAAGTAGATTATATAGAATTTAAGAAAACTTTAGTCAGAATAACTCCCTTGCGATTCATAGAAGGATCCTCATAGTAGAGATAACCTACAACTGCTTCCAATGTGGTAAATGCTTTTGCAAGCATGGCAACTTTGTGATACATCAGAGGACTCACACCAGGGAGAAACCATATGAGTGTCCAGATTGTGGGAAAAGTTTCACAGCAAATTCCCACCTGGTGATACACCAGAGGACTCACACAGAAGAGAAACCCTTTGAATGTCCTAAAAAATTTTTTCAATGTCCTGAAAAATCTTTTCAATGTCCAGCCTGGAAAAGTTTTGTGGGAAAAGTTTCAGTCTCAATTCCAGCCTGGAGAACCACCAGAGGACTCACACAGGAGAGAAACCCTTTGAATGTCCTGAGTGTGGGAAAAGTTTCAGAGCAAATTCCAGTCTGCTGAGCCACCAGAGGACTCACTCAGGAGAGAAACCCTTTGAATGTCCTGAGTGTGGGAAAAGTTTCAGTCAAAATTCCAGCCTGCTTAGCCACCAGAGGATTCACACAGGAGAGAAACCCTTCGAATGTCCTGATTGTGGGAAAAACTTCGCTGTCAATTCCAACCTGTTGATACACCAGAGGACTCACACAGGAGAGAAACCATATGAATGTCCAGATTGTGGGAAATGTTTCAGTGAGAATTCCAGCCTGGTGAGCCACCAGAGGATTCACACAGGAGAAAAACCCTTTGAATGTCCTGAGTGTGGGAAAAGTTTCAGACAGAATTCCCACCTGGTGAAACACCAGAGGACTCACACAGGAGAGAAACCCTTTGAATGTCCTGAGTGTGGGAAAAGTTTCAGTCAGAATTCCTACCTGGTGAAACACCAGAGGACTCACACAGGAGAAAAACCCTTTGAATGTCCTGATTATGGGAAAAGTTTCAGACAGAATTCCCACCTCATTATACACCAGAGGACTCACACCAGGGAGAAACCCTTTGAATGTCCTGAGTGTGGGAAAAGTTTCAGTCAGAATTCCTACCTGGTGAAACACCAGAGGATTCACACAGGAGAGAAACCCTTTGAATGTCCTGAGTGTGGGAAAAGTTTCAGTCATAAATCCAGTTTGGTGAGACACCAGAGGACTCACACAGGGGAGAAACCCTTTGAATGTCCTGATTGTGGGAAAGGTTTCAGTGACAATTCCAGCCTGGTGAACCACCAGAGGACTCACACAGGGGAGAAACCCTTTGAATGTCCTGATTGTGGGAAAGGTTTCAGTGACAATTCCAGCCTGGTGAAACACCAGAGGACTCACACAGGGGAGAAACCCTTTGAATGTCCTGATTGTGGGAAAGGTTTCAGTGACAATTCCAGCCTGGTGAAACACCAGAGGACTCACACAGGGGAGAAACCCTTTGAATGTCCTGATTGTGGGAAAAGTTTCAGTGAGAATTCCAGCCTGGTGAAACACCAGAGGACTCACACAGGGGAGAAACCCTTTGAATGTCCTGATTGTGGGAAAAGTTTCAGTCAGAATTCCAGCCTGGTGAAACACCAGAGTACTCACACAGGAGACAAACCACACAAGTGTGCAGATTGTGGGAAAAGTTTCAGTTACCGTTCTGACCTGGTGATCCACCAGAGGACTCACACAGGAGAGAAACCCTTTGAATGTCCTGATTGTGGGAAAAACTTCAGTCTCAGTTCCTCTCTGGTGAAACACCAAAAGACTCACACAGGAGACAAACCACACAAGTGTGCAGATTGTGGGAAAAGTTTCAGTTACCGTTCTGACCTGGTGATCCACCAGAGGACTCACACAGGAGAGAAACCCTTTGAATGTCCTGAGTGTGGGAGAGGTTTCAGTCTCAATTCCAGTCTGGTGAAACATCAAAAGACTCACACAGGAGACAAACCACGCAAGTGTCCAGATTGTGGGAAATGTTTCAGTTACTGTTCTTCCCTGGTGAACCACCAGAAGACTCACACTGGAGAGAAACCATATGAGTGTCCAGACCAGCAGAGTCAAACAATTTGATTGAGGGCCGCATCAGGATTGTGGTTGATCTTGTGGGTGGGCATGGTGGGGTGATGTCACATGGCCAGCTCGACATCTCTTGTGTCGTGGGGCGCCTGTGGTGGCTCAGGCAGGTCTGGGGGGATCCATTGTCTCCAGCAGAGGAAGGTGAGACAATGTTAAGCGCCAAAACCCTTGTTCTCCTCATAGCGCCCAGCCTGGCCCTCAAGCTCCCGTTGCACTGGGACCCCACAGCCCAGCCCTGCTTCCCCCAGTGGGTCCCCGGCTGTGTTTACCTCCTCCTCAAGGCTGCTGCTATGCTCGCTGTCCTTGGGCACGTTGCTCATGGTGTATGCAGGAGGGCAAAGTGTGTGTGTCAGAGGGAGGGCCACTCCTCCATGCGAGGAGCCCCAACTTTGTAACTAAAGCATCCTCAGCAATAGGATGGGAGACTACCAGGAGAGTCAGGAGGAGGGGACAAGGGGATAGCGAAAGGGCAGAAGGGCAGCTGGTGGCCAAATACTAAGGTAGGACTTTCCTCAGAATCTGATTCCCTCTTATTATAATCAATCCTTCCTTCCTTCCTTCCTTCCTTCCTTCCTTCCTTCCTTCCTTCCTTCCTTCCTTCCTTCCTTCCTTCCTTCCTTCCTTCCTTCCTTCCTTTTGTGGCCAAAGACTGAAAACAAACCAGGCTCAGTTTATCCAGTGCTTGCATCTAGTGGGAGAGTCCACAGACAACAGCAAAACTTGTCAAAATGTTGGTTGTGATAGTTGATCAGAACTCCTCTGTTTTTTATGTACTGTAAGGTCCCAAAATGTACTTGAGTCACCAGAATGCCAAAAAGAGAGACTCAAGACGAGGCTTGCAAAAAGAGGCAGATTTTATTTATGGCCAAAAACAAAATACTGGGTGGGACTATATCCAGAACATACAGATACAATGCATGTGAGGAGATAGCCACACCTTGGGGAAGGTAAGGCGTCCTTTTTATACCCTCAGAGACATCAGTTTAGTACCCAATTCTGGCCTCCTAGTTCAGGTTTGTGTATTCCTTGTTGCCCTGCAAAGGAATAGAAGTTTCCCAATTAGCGTTATCTCTTCCTTGAGCATTCCTTTGTTCTCTCAATTGGCCATTTGGCTCCTGGTTCTGCATCATCCAAGGAATAAATTGATCTGTATAATCAAAGGTGTAAGTTAGAGCTGAAGTGTAAAATTATCCCTCGGATGATGTCTGCAGTTCCAACTGAGATACGTACCATGCTCTTAGATGGCATAAGAAAAACAGGAAGAAGATTGATATGGGTTCAGATCAAATGGCAGGAACATATCTTTGACAAATATCAGATACCTTACAGAGGCCTAATAACAGCATATGTTTGTTACAGGAGATACAAATACAAAGGCATACAATATATGTGATACAAATACAAAGGCATATTTGTGTTACAGATATAAAGGTACAATATATGTGTGTTATACAAATACAAAAGGCCATATGTGTATTACAGGAACCTAATGGTTACAGAATAACAAGTTCCTACTAATTCTCGTATACCAGTATATCCAGTGGTGGGATTCAAGTAATTTAACAACCGGTTCTCTGCCCTAATGATTTCTTCCAACAACCAGTTTGCCAAACTGCTCAGAAAGTTAACAACCTGTTCTCCTGAAGTGGTGCGAACTGGCTGAATCCCACCACTGAGTATATCATATTCTAGTATTATTTATTATATCCTTATAACTGTTTCCCTTCAGTACAGCGTTTAGGAACAGAGATAAATTAGTTGCTTTTCTATTAATACATAATCCTTAAAAGGGCTGTCCTGTAGGGAGCCTCCCATGGTCTAATTCAGACTGGAAATATAACAAAGGAAAATATTCTCCCCACTCGGCTTTGTCCTGTTTTCCCCACTGGAAATGGCTGTTTGCAACACACAAGGAGGGGATACTTTCCTGCGAGCTCACAATTCAAGAATACCAATGTTAACTTGGATTGCTAATAAAGTTGCCACTCACTCCTCCCTCCCTCCCTTCCCGCTTTCCTTTCCTTTCTTTTTTTAAGCTGCCAAGAGGCTCCCGACAAAGGCTTCCCATATTGACCCCTCCCCCATCATTGCTTCAGCATGGTTTTTAGCTCACTTCTCCCAGACTCATGCAATTGTATGTTTGTGTGTGTGTGTGTGTGTGTGTGTGTCTTTGTGCCCCTTGCAGCCCAGCCAGTGCTGTGATATTGGAGAGGAAAAGATTGGGAAAGGCTGGGGGTTGAGAGAAAGAAACAAGCATTGCAAAAAAACAGCTTTTGTTAGCTTTCAGCCTACAATGAGCTTGTAGGCTGCAAGTGAGTGAGTGCAAGTGAGTGAGACACCTCCACCTCCACCCCCCTCCACACACATAAACACACACTCACCAGTGGTGGGTTCCTCTCAGTTCGGCCCGGTTCTCCCAAGCTGGTAGCGGTGACGATATGACGTCACTGAAATGGTTCTGCCCCCCCCCCGTGCCCCCCACTCCCAAAGCGCTCTGGAATAGGTATCAATAGATAAATGAATATATTTCCAGGGAGCCAAAGAGGGAACATGGGTAACATCCATTTGCCATAGTTGATTAGAGGTGAAACCAGGAGATTAACGCCCATGTCCGCCGAGGGGGATGCCCCAGAACATTGGGGACAGGATGAAACAATTTGCTTGGCTTGATCGAGTGGAATATGGCAAGCTTGTGCCAGCCCCCTGGCATTTTGATGGAAAAAAGAATGACTAGAAAAAGGATCTGTGAACAAAGTAGGTAAAACATGAACAGCAGCATCAGCGTGACTATTGCCTTCAGAAAGAGGGCCAGGAAGGGGCGAGTGACTGCGTATGTGAGAGACAAAGTACAAATGTTTCCGGTCTTGTAGCACTTGCTGCAAAGTGAGAAAAAGGGCCATAAAATTGGGGTCAATCCTGGGCGTGATATAAGCACCTGGAAGATTAAAAATAAGTTGACACACATACTGCGAGTCAGAGATCAAATTAAAAGGCTGTTGGGAAAAAGTGTGGAAAGCCAAGATAGCAGCAGACAATTCTGAGTGTTGTGGCGAGGATTGCACTGCAGTGTAGGACACTTTCCAGGTATCATCATGAGGATCCTTATAAGCAATCGCTCCTCTCATTCGCCCTCCATCGGAAAAAACAGTAAGAACTTGCGACAATGGAAAGGGAGAAAGCCGTGGGCGAACAGGAAAGGAGGAAGTCATTAAACATTAGGCAAATGATATGCAATACAACCCCCATAGTTAAAGCACACTGAAGAGATAAGATATTCTGAAAATAAAAGTGAAAATCAGTTTTCGAGATAGGAAGAACAACATTCATGAAATCGGTCCCATTTCTACGACAAGCTTGAGTGCGCCCCAAGGTTATAATTTCAGCAATGGCTTGGATAAATGGTAAAACGTTTTGGGATGGTGTATGGGGTAAATAAAGCCATTCAATACAATATATTTTTTGTGCCAATACTCCCGTAGGCAGCTTACTAGTAGGGAATATCAAAAGAGCTAACTGACAATCTTTATGAGGAATACGATCCACAAACTGAGTACTCAAGATGTCATTAAGTTGCTCGACTGTAGCAAGTGCTGCAGGTGGAATTATAATGAGGTCTCCAGGCTGTTTTCCTTTGGTCAATAAGTCTATGGACTAAGTAAATGTGTAGGCAGGGAAAAATATGGGTAGACCCAATTGAGGGTGCCCAGCAATTGTTGCAAATTAACCAAGGAAATAACTTTGGGTAAGCTCAAGCGAGGAAAAGCCGGAGCAGAATAAGATTGCAACATTTTATATCCTAAATAAAAATAAGGAGAGTGCAGCTGTATTTTTTCCAGGGCAATTTGCAATCCATAGACACATAAATCATTTTGTATTTTGGAAAGCCAGTTAGATTGTATTTTTGGGTCTCCAATTAATATGTCATCCATAAAATGATATATCAAAACCAATGGATGATGTTTGCAAAAAGGGGCTAATGCCGCAGCAACATGAAGTTGACATAATGTGGGACTATTCAACATGGCCCCCACGGAGAGGGCACGCAATCTGGGAGTCCTGGATACGCAGCTGTCCTTGGAGGAACATCTGACGGCTGTAGCCAGGGGGACCTTCTGTCAGGTTCGCCTGATTCGCCAGTTGCGGCCCTTTCTTGATCAGGATTCCCTGTGCACAGTCACTCATGCCCTTGTCACCTCTCGCCTGGACTACTGCAACACTCTCTACATGGGGCTCCCCTTGAAGAGCACCCGGAGGCTCCAACTGGTCCAGAATGCGGCCGCGCGGGTAGTCACGGGAGCCGCATGGCGCTCCCATACAACACCTCTCCTGTGTGAGCTGCACTGGCTCCCAGTGGTCTTCCGGGTGCGCTTCAAGCTGTTGGTTATCACCTTTAAAGCGCTCCATGGCATAGGACCTAGTTATCTTCGAGACCGCCTGCTGCTACCGATGGCCTCCCATCGACCTGTGCGCTCCCACAGAGAGGGCCTCCTCGGTGTGCCATCAGCCAAACAATGTAGGCTGGTGACCCCCAGGGGGAGGGCCTTCTCTGTGGGGGCACCTACCCTCTGGAATCAGCTGCCCCCAGAGATAAGGAGAATCCAAGACCTCGGTGCCTTCCGCCGTGCCCTTAAAACCTTTTTCCAGCAAGCCGGGCTGACCTAACAATTTTAAAAATGTTTTTAATTGTTTGTTATTGTTTTTAATCATGGGGCCAAATTTATATATATCTTTTTAATTGTATTTTAATGTTTGTAATTTATGCTTTTACTTGGCTGTTCACCGCCCTGAGTCCTCAGGGAGAAGGGCGATATACAAATTTAACAATAAATAAATAAATAAATTCCCTGTGGTAAAACTATCCAGTGATAACGTTTATTAGGTTCTGAATGATTCACCGCAGGCACGGTAAATGCAAACTTTTTCTGATTAGGGGGGCATAGAGGAATGGAAAAGAAACAATCCTTTAAATCAATTACCATCACTTCATGGTCTTGGGGAATCAAATTAGGATTGGGCGTTCCGCACTGCAAGGGGCCCATAGGTTGAATACAGGCATTAACTGCACGGAGATCATGCAAAGAACGCCAGTTGCCACTTTTCTTTTTTTATCACAAACACAGGGGCTAGTGAACGGCACAACATGACCAGCAAACAGCTGATCTTTTACCAACTGGTGGAGAGCCGTCAATTTGTTGTGTGACATGGGCCATTGATCAATCCACACCGGCTCTTTAACCAGCCAAGTCAACGGGAGGGCAGTAGTCTCAATCCTCCAAAGTGAGGGTGGCCCCCAATTTACTGAGCAGGTCGCGCTCCCAAAGGCTGACATGAATATGTAATATAAAGGGGCGGACCTGAATGATCAAATCTGAATTAGGCAAGTGAGTTGAAAGAAATCATGCACTTTGACAACCCCACACACCCCACACACTTGGGCAGGGCTCAGGTGGCAGGCCACTGCTTGGCAGAGATCACAAACATCCACTCCAGTGTCCTTACCCTGCAACACAATGATCTGGCGGGGCTGTTGGGATGTTATCGGGGTAGTGATGGCAGCTATGATGCAAGTGGCCAGGTTAGTGGAACTGAAGCCAACCTTCCCCTCTCTCCTTTTGCTCTCCCCCTGCTGGGACAAAATAAGGCAAAAGCAGGAGTTGAGCAGGGCTAGAATAAATGGGCAAAATTTGGTGCAAATTGGTCTATTATTGAATATAAATAATCCCAGTGTAGTCCGAATCTATCACTCCAGGAATGACAAAAATACCATTTTTACCCATGCTTGACTGCAGAAGGACAAGCCCTACATAATTTTTTGTTAGGAGCAATTTCAACCAGACTTGGTACACAGATGACTTATTCTCTGGAAAAAAATACTGTGGGAGTAAGACCCACCTAACACCCCTTGGAGTGTGTGCGCGTGTCTGTGTCTGTGTGTTCCAGCATAACTCTGGAACACCTCAAGCAATTTTAACCCAACTTGATACACAGATGGATACAGGATTGACTTTCTGCCTCTGGCCCATTAACAAAGGGTGGGGGGCAGGAAGGTGGGAGCTGCTTTGTCTGTAAAATATGCTTCTCCATTTCTCATCCAGGGAAATATAATATTCTGCCTTTTTAATATTTCCCAAAATATTTCATTCTTCTAGGAAATGGGTGGGTGCTAACCTCCTACAACTGTTTAAATTTGTGGACCGGCCAAATACTCTGTTCAAAGAAAATACGTTGTATGTTTGTATGTGTGTTTCTAATTATTGCTATTTATTGCTATTTGTTCTCTTTTATTCTTTAAAGTTTAACAATTCATTCTTTATCTTAATATCTTTATATTTGTTTGGGGTTGGCTTTCTTCCCTTTCATCTTTTTTATTGTACAGCAATCTTTCTCCTCAAACCTACCACCTCCTCTATTGCTGTATCCTTTTATGTATCCTTTTATGCATATGGACTACTCAGAGGGCTGAAAAAGTTATTTTTGACTGGTCCTCGCACTTTTGACCAGTCCTCGAACTTACGACTGTCCTCACAATTTATGTTTTTGCCCTATCTTGTCACCATGGTGAAGAGAAGCAGTTGTGAAATGAGTGACACGGTTGTTAAGAATGGTACAATGGGCATAAATGATGACCAGTCATAACTGCGAAGACCGGTCAAAAGTGCGAGGACCTGTCAGAAATCACATTTTTCAGCCCTCTGGGTAGTCCTTTTGTGCACAGGGACTACTCAGAGGGCTGAAAAAGTTATTTTTGACTGGTCCTCGCACTTTTGACCAGTCCTCGAATTTACGACTGTCCTCACATTTTACGTTTTTTGCCCTATATTATACCATGTTGAAGAAAAGCAGTTGTGAAATGAGTGACATGGTTGTTAAGAATGCTGCACAGGCATAAATGTGAGGATGGTCATAAGTGTGAGGACCAGTCAAAAGTGCGAGGACCTGTCAGAAATGACTTTTTTCAGCCCTCTGAGTAGTCCCTATACACATAGCCATGGCCACCTGGTCACATGACCAGCTAGCCATGCCCACCCAGTCACATGACCTCCAAGCCACACCCACAAAATAAGCCACGCCCACAAAACCGGTAGTAAAAAAAATTTAGAACCCACTCCTGATTGGGGGTCACCACAACATGAGGAACTGTATTAAAGGGTCGCGGCATTAGGAAGGTTGAGAACCACTGCCCTAGGCCCTCAGCTTCAAGCAAACAGGGCAAGTTGTCGGGGGAGGTGCCTACTAATACATATAATCACCTGTAGAACTTTTCCCAGGCTGTTGCCAGGGCAATTAGGTCACTAATTCTCACCACAGTGAGTGATGGCTTTTCACGTCTAATACAGGATTGGGATAAATAAATACCCTGCCAACATCAGGTTATCAGCTAGTTGACTATGAAGGCTACTCCATTTCTTCTGAGGGATTCTTGCCTGCTGTAGTATACCTGATGGTCATCTGAATTAAATTCACCCATTCCTGTCCATTATAGTTCGCTGATTCCTAAGATGTCGATGTTCAGTCTTGTCATCTCTTGTTTGACCACGTCCAGCTTGCCTTGATTCATGGATTTTACATTCCAGGTTCCTATGGAGAATACATCTTTACAGCATCAGACTTTCCTTTCACCACCAGATACATCCACAGCTGAACATCCTTTCGGCTTTGGCCCAGTTGCTTTACTCTTTCTGGTGCTTCTAGTACTCGCCCTCTGCTCTTCCCCAGTAGCATATTGGACAACTTCCGACCTAAGGGGCTCATCTTCCAGCGTCATATCTTTTTGCCTTTTGGTCCTCTCCATGGGGTTTTCATGGCAGAGATACTGGAGTGGGTTGCCATTTCCTTCTCCAGTGGATCACGTTTTATCAGAGCTCTCGGCTATGACCTGTCCGTCTTGGGTTAACAGCGTGTTGTCTGGGCACAATTTTAAGTAAAGATACAACAATAACCACAATCATACTAGTAATCTTAAACATATCAATATTAATCACAGAATAATAATACAATTAGTTTATCCATCTTGCAAAATTTTCAATACAAATTTTTATTATCTTTTAAAAATCTGTTCAGTTTCTAACCTGTTTCTGTCAGTTAACCATTGGTAAAATAAATCCCATGTTAAAAAATATTCTGTTTCTTCCTTTTCTTTTATCTTAAATGTCAGGCTATCTATCTTAGCACATTCTAATATTCTTTTTATTACACTTTCATTTGTTGGGACCTCATCATTTTTCCATTATTGTGCAAACACTATACTTGCTGCTTTTACTACATGCAAAATTAAGTACGTATTCCCTTTATTATACTGTTCTGGTAATATACCCAGCAGGAATATTTCTGGTTTCAAATCTATATGTTGCTTTATCATTTTTTTTCTAACCAAGTATGTATTTTAATCCAATATGTTTTTGTCTTTGGACATGTCCACCACATATGATAATATGAACCTGGTATCTGATTAC